GTCTCTTATTTGACAATGTCTTGGATTCGAATTCTGGAAGACGTAATAGAAATCCGTGAGGAGGTAAGTAGACATAGGCCCACCCAAAATGGACAGTACGTACGCTAATGGATTGGGTATAGAGACCCGGATTGTTACAAAAACCAATTGACACCAGGATTCAATTTAATTCTTTCATTAGGCATATGACTTGTGTTCGGGGAATGCGATAGAAATTCTTAAAGGGGTAATTGGGCATGAGCCCACCCAAAGTAGACAGTACATAAGCTAACGATTTGGATATACAGACCTGAATCGTTACAAGGGGACACATAAGACTTTCAAACCCCCACTAACAGAAAGATAAACTATCTATTTTACGTTTTACATGTCCAAGTACACACACCCAATCACATTTTTATGTCAAAACTTATGCTAACATATCATACTAATATAATTTAATGAATATCAAATCATGGACTTATATCAAAATCTAATTTCATGCCAAAGTCCAAACTCAAACACAAATAATCATGCAAATTCATTATCTTAGTTTTAACATAAAAGATATGAAAGTAAATCCTACACATGAGAACATTGGTCTTCTATTTGATTTTCCCCCCTATCTTCTCACAATGCATGCAATCTCCGTCTATCCATCCCTTCTCACGCTGAGGTTTTCATAAAATATGATTGAGCATAAAGCCCGTAGAATTTTATAGGTGCAATCCCCTTTGAACATATATGCTTATTCAGATGTAAAACATAAAAAATTGTGTACTCAACTTTGATAACTCACATGACCAATATTAAAAATCATTAGGACCATTGCTATGTCTAACAATTGTTCTAAGTCAATTACCTCATGCACTTCAGGTGTGTTGGCCATGCACTCTTGATGAGTCCACATATACCTCACCAAGATCATTAGTAGATTTCAGTCACATTTCCTTGTTCTTTGTTATTATCTTTTTGTTTATTTTTTTCCCTTTTGTCAATCTTTGATGAAATATTATAGTTTACAACACTCGTATTTTTTTTTTTCATTATCTCTAGATTTATGTTTACTCTTATCCATCTTATTGTGTTTCTCATGGCGGTTGTCTCTAGTAGTACTCTTTCCTCTAGCAACTAGCCCTCTAGTCCTATTACTGTCATTTGTAGAGGGATTTAAGCTCTAGTTCTCTAGCTTTCAAGGAATTGATAACTATGTCAGGGTCATCCATACCATACTTAATGGCATGTTTAGTCTCTCTATCAAATTCAAGAATGGAGTTTAGGAGTGTGATTGATTTCTAATAATTAGGTATATTTGTACAAAACCCGCAAGCGTATGAGATCGTTGATAAGAAATAGATTTAGTGAGTCGAGAGTATCGTCTCACATGAAATAAGTTCAATTCAAGTTTACTAGTTTCGTACGAAATTCGAATTATTTAACACAAAAGAGTTTTTTATTTGATTTATCCTAAATTAATCTAAGACATCTGTAAATTTTTTTTTTTATCAAATTATGGATGATTGTATTGAATTTCGAATCCGTCTATTGCTATTCATTTCAATTCTTAATTTGTAATATAGTTTTGTTTGTGAGTTCTTAATAATCGATAAAGTTATGAAATATAATTTTTTTTTCGAAGACAAATTAAATCCATCCTAATCGCTCTCCGAATATATTCCTAACTCGAATTCGAATGATTAGAATGCATTAAAATTTGGATTATCTATATGATTGCACATGTGATAAATGTTATTCCTAACATCTATTGGACATATATTAATTTTGCCATCTTCTAAACTTATTATAAGTTTCTCATCGCTATAAAAAGTAACTAATTATCTAATTGGTGGTCAATCAATTAAATAATACAATGGGTATGCAAAATAAATCCAAAAACACAATAAATAAACTAAACTAAGAGTCTTGAATCAAAACAAATAAGAAACAGGGTTCATATTCATTCAATACAAAAATGATCTAGCCTAGCATGCTTTTAAATAAATTACAAGATGAATAATGGAAAATCATCACTCAAATCATGAAAGAATATATGAATTCTTGATCTTCAATTCCAATGTCGAATTTTTCAAACTCTTGATGTAATTGTCTTCAATTCCACGCTAGGGTTTGATATTCTCTCTCAAAAGTGATGAAATGTCCTTCTTGTTCTTGATAAATTTGATGATATTATTATGTATGAAGAGGCAGGAGAGAGTTTTTCAATGTGACCCTTATTTTGTATTTTCAAGAGTCAGAAAATAGGCCAAAATTGTGTTCAATTTGGGTTCTAAAAGAGTTTGAATTGCGAAGAAAACTGTTGATTCATTCGTGGAACTAACCTGTGTGTGTGCACAGGCATAGCCACCGTGCACGCACCATTGGGCCAAATGTCTCTCGGGTTGGTGAAATTAGGGCTCTGTGTGCACACCATGAATTGCCTGCTCGCGAGCGCTCAGGCTCATGTCGGTTCATCCCTGAGTTTCTTTCGGTATTTCGGTCATAAATTTCTTTCCCGATATCCGATTGAGGTTATTCAAAGTACATTAAAAGGATAACTCAAATGACTACAATTCTGCTATCCGTAAAATGGGTTTTAAGTTGAGGCTAAAAATATGAGGCATAACTTCTTCCGCTGGAAATTAATTTGTGAAAATACATACTTCAACTATATTTCACTCATTTGATCTCTAGTTGCATCAAATTGATCATTATGATCTTTAATCATCGTTTTGTGATCCAGATCAACTATTGGATGTTTACACTTGGGTCCTTGAACATTAGATTTCTTTCATTTTTGCTCATTGGATGTTTACACTTAGGTCCTTGAACATTAGATTTCTTTCATTTTTGCTCATTTTTCTTTCATTTCTTCCAATTTCACCAATTTACCTCGAGTTTTACCTAAAAAACAATTAACACAAAATTAAGTTATAACTCATCCAATTAACTAACAAATACTCCAACTTAATGGTCTAAATAAGTGTACAAAATACACACTTACCAAAATACTTTATCTTGAGTGTTGTTAATGTCTTGCGCTATTTTATTTCACACATCTAATCTCTCATCAGGTTCTTTTGAATGATCTAACGTAAAAGAGAAAAAGTTGTTCCATCAGGAACATTTTATTTGGTAAATATTTGATTAAATGTGATTTGCTCAATATTTCTCCTAAATTCCTAGCACTACCTAATTTTCATTCTTTTCTAAATACACAATCATACAAATGTAGGATAATCGATGTATAGGCTGGTTCATTAGCATCAGTCTTTAGTCAGCAATGTAATTTATGCAAACTAGAAGCACGGACATCTTGTACTCGCGTCTTTTCATTTTCCTTCGATTTTTCAATGAGCATCACAATCAACATAAACAATGACTTAACTTATTAAAGATCACAAGAAGAATTGTCTAAATACATATCTCTTTAAGCGACTTTAAATTGTTATAGAACAATAAGCGACTTATAATATAATATCAATAAAACTAACAAATTAAGATAACACAAAATATGAGAAAAGAGTTAGAAATACTAGCCTAAGAGAGTCGCAAAATTGTTGTCCTAAAGTCTTGTGAGAAGCCCTTCGTGCATGTGCTTTCGACGTTGTACGGCTCCAAGATAAAATCCTTATGACTAATAGTTGGTTTTCCTTCTGTGAGCACAACCATATGGATAAAAAGAACAAGTCTAATTGAGTTGCAAAATTATCGGAATATAATATGAAACATATAGAGAGTAATCTTTCTAATTATGTTTTCAAGTTTTGTCAAACAATGAATTATCCCCCTTCTTTTAGTGTAAAAATTCAACCCCCATAATAATGAAATTTAATTCATTAAATTATAAGTTATATCTAAAATTAGGATTTCTAATTTGTATTAAAACTGCAAAATAAAACAAATAATTTGAAAAATTAAAATTACCTTTGATTTTGAAAGTTTAAAGTTTTCATGTTACAACGGGTTGCTTGAGGGGTTGGGAAAGAAATTTTACTGACCACCAGTATGTTTTCTTTTTCTTGAAACAACTAGATAAACCCAATTTGCAGTTTTTTGAAAGTCAATATTTCATGAGAAAATTACATCTAAACCTGTTTTTAAAGTATACATTTCATTATTCATATTTTAAATTTATTTTTTCAAAAATTAGGAATTATTTATTAATAATCATCAATTAAAATTACATATCATTCTATTTTCTCTCTCTATTCACACACTTTCTCTATACTCTCTCTCCGTTCTCTTTCTCTATCTAGTGTTTGATGGAGGCGACGATGATGGCTTGGTGGTTGCTGTCCGTGTTGCAGAGAAGTCATGTAATTGGTTGGGATTAAGTGTGGCGGAGGGTACAGAAGCCAGATCTATAGCCGCAACCAACTCCGATCAACACCGTGGGCCAATCTGCTTCCTTCCCTTGTTCGGTTTTATCTCTGTGTGATCTCTGCCTCTGGTTTTTGTTTCTGCTTTGTTTGGTCTTAACACAACAAATCAAAGAAAAAAACCAATTCAAATAATTTGAACAGTGTTCTTAAAGAATTTTGCACAAACAACCATTACTACAACAAAAACAGCCTTTTGTTGTCGAAGACTTTTTTGCAACGTTTGGGAAGGATATGGCAAGATTTTTAAATGTTTCTAATAAATTTTTGCAACGTTTTTTAAATGTCATGAATAACCTTTTGCAACGTTTTTTAAATGTTGCTAATAACTTTTTCGCAACATTTTTTGAATGTTGCTAATAACCTTTTTTCAACGTTTTTCTAGTGTTGCTAATAACTCTTTTGCAACGTTTTTTGACCATTGCCGCAAGTGTTTTTTTTTGTTTATAGCAATTTATGTAAATTGACTGGTAAAGTTAAAAATACTTCTTGTGAACAAATTTTGAAATTTCATAAAAACAGATAATTTCATTACAAATTTTTGAATCTTTACACTCTTCTAGAGGAAAAAGTATGCACCATCTAAATCCATGAATTCTGTATAGTAATTACTTCAAGAACTTCTATAGCTTCTCTTCTTGTTTACACAATACTGACACATCCAATACTCCCTCCACGCCCATGGAACAGAGTAACCTTTATACCGTATTCATTGCATGCAGCTACAACATCTTCTTGAGCTTTGTAAAGTTCCCATGCAGCAGTAAAGCCGCCAGGATCTTTACGTGAGTCTGAATATCCAACCATCACCTGTACACAGCAAACATCACCTGGTTGGCCGACTAGAACAACAGAGATGTTGGGAATTTACTTAATCATGCACAGCGGAAATAAAACAATTTTCAATTCCCACCAAGGATCTGCAATGTGTTTAGATAGAAACTGTGATTAGAATTATACCTTGATGAATTCTGTAAAACCCTTTGTTGATTCACGAACTCCAATGATCACGATCTGCAATCCAAGCTGTCCAATTGTCAAGCCTCCAATGGTGATCCACACAGAGAACAAGAATGGTGGTTAGGGTTTCTTTTCTTGTGCTAACAAGAATAATAAAATCTCTACAGTTTTCAAACCCTAGTATCATATTAATATAAGCCCAAGTGGGCTCGGCCCCTCTTGAAACTAAA